TTAGACTAAACTGATGCCTCTGATAGTTCTAGATTTTATACAAGTATTAGTGCATATGAGGCTATGAAGCAGTTTATGAATAATTAACCTGCTGCTTTTTTAAAAGTGCGATGTACTTCAAATGTTTCATTAAACTTCTAACTAGAGAAGTCAATTTTTCCCCCAGAATCGTTTCTCCAAAAATGAGAATCACAATTTGGCCCATTTCTTATTTTTAGGCCATTTGTCGCCCGCTGGCTTCGATGAAGTCCAACGCATACAAACGCCCAGCCTTCTATGCCTCAATCGCTTGGGCCCTTGCTCTACTCTTTTCCACACCTCAATTTGCTCTTTTCACCAAAAGCGACGGCGATTGTGTTGGGGCCTATACTAGCCCTTACCAGGTGAACTATCTCAATTACTGACTTACCTACATAATAGAGAGCAATTAACATATTTCTTTTACAGTATGCCATCTATGTTGTGGTTTTCAACTCGGTAGTTTGGCTTCTGCCCAGTGCTTTAGCTGGATATCTATATTATCGCGTATGCAAAGCCGTTTGGCAGAGCACATCGTTTGGAAGCAATTTTCAAACAAATGGGTAAGTGTATCGACTCGACCTAAAGTATTAGTAATCCAACGACCTTTTTACAGGAAAACAGGGCAAATGGCGTTTTCTTCAGCTGGTATGCAAGTGCACCACAAAGGTAGCTCATTGCTATTTTTAGAATTTCAGTATTAATTGGCAATGATTGATAAGCGAGAAGTGTAACATGTAGATATTGTTAAGAGTTAGATTGTTGTTATTTGCTTCAACTAAGGCCTTAAAATTAGAACACAAAGAAACGAATCCAGAATGGTGACAACAGTCACTAAATCACTTTTATGAAAAATCATGCTTTTTAAGAACAGTAAGACCAAAGCATAGAATTCTATGTAGAGTACGTAAAACTCAATTTTATCACCCAGCGTACATCAAAACCTATAGACAAATATCAGACACAATGGTTCTTTTCTGTGCTCAATTTCTTATTTGCATTCTCTCTAATGTATGATACCGATTCGAAAGTGCAACTGTAACG